GACCATTATAAAARGAAACTTGCAGGAATAATCAGATTTGAGAAACGAATGGCAGATTAATTTTCATTCAGTGACTTTCTATTCCACAAAAATGAAGAAGATTAGTAGTATTTTAATGTTTGTGATAATTTAGGCAATTTGAAAAATAGCATTAAGAGACAATGTGTGATTTATTTCAATAAAATTCCCAAACTTGACTATCATCTCTATTTAATTATAATTTCTCTGTGATTAGACTTCATTTGAAGTTACAAGAGTGAAATCTTCCTTTGAATACGCTGAATTAAGAAAAACACACCTATTATTGGTCTACACAAAGATGAGATTATAAATCTTAAATTATGGAAAGAAAAGCACCTCCACTATGTTATTAACTAACACTGTCAAATCACATTGAAGTCAGAGTCTTGTCAATAGGAAAAAAAAACCCTGATAATGGTTATTTTTAGATTATTTAAAAAAAACATTATTAGGTTTTTTTTTACTTACCTTTTTTGACTTTTTTTTAAAAAAATTTTGGAGCTTCACATTTATTTTCTTAATGTTTTTAACCCAATGTCTGTGAAATTTTTATTGCTCCCCAGATGACGACATATGATCTGAATGTAACCACACACCTCTTTGCTCAGCAGTATTTGTCACAAACCATTATAAATTATCATGCTGATAGTTTGCATGGCTGGGAAACCGGAAAAGTTTCATAAATTCTAACTACTGTATCAATGACATTCTTGTTTATTATACAGATATAAAGTTTTATGAGAATCAAGATGTCTGCCTCACCACTGAAGAAAACTTTAGTGAAGTAAGAGCTAACGAGTTCCATGTAAATACTGGAAACCATCTACAGTGTACAATGGATATTTCTTTCTGAGAAATACTCAGTTGTTTCGCATTTTTCTTTCTTTTGGACTTATCATGGTACTTCACGAGCATGCAGGATTTTGCTGATACAAAAAACAGAAATCATCCATTTCTTCAACACCTTGTCCTCCCTGAACATTCCCCAGTGTTTTCTTCTAGTCAACAAAACAATATCTATAGAAATCCTCGGCCCTAGTTTGGCCTTAAGGACAGATGCTCTGTTGTTCTACTGATTGATTGACTAACAGCACACCTTGTTCAATTAAAAAAAACTGAAGGGGTCACATTATCATGGTTTTGATGTTTATTTAGGATGAGCCTGATTAAGTGGTGACATCAACACCAATTATTGTATTTTCAAACTATCCTACATAACTTACACATTTACTTTCCCTGAGGAAATGTCCCACCTTCGTAGCAACCATGAAAATTTAACACTCATTTTGTAAAGTAGGGCTTATAGTTTACCTATGAACTGGGTTGGTCTTAACACTATTCACATGAAAAACTCTAACTATACACTATACTGTTGAAGTCACGAAAAGATTTCTTTTCATAATTATTACCAAAACAATAAAATTTTAAATAAAAATATTCTTCTTCCAGAATTATTCAGCTAGTCTAATTAATAATGTTAGCCATTCTACACCCTGGAAAAGAAAATCACTTATTTGTATCTCAAGGATGTTTCTCAATAAGCAAATGTGCTAAGAAATTGATTTCTTGAGCTTTCTCACAGTGAAAGTTGACTGAACAAATACTGACAATTTCAAGAGAAAATGAAGAGTGTATTCTATGGCAATCATCCCATTAATGGATCAATATATTCAGCTTGACATATGCTTAGTTTCACATTTTCAAATGTTCTAACAATAACCAAGTTGTTAAAGACATCAGAGTGATGATGAAAACTTATTTGGTGGACGGATTTTCACTTTTCAAAGGRCTTTTGTATCTGTTACTTCCTTTTATCCTACCTGTAACCTAGGGACATCAGTACGGCAAGTACTCTCTGCTACTGTTAGACATACACTGTAGCTGCAACAGGGCAAATCTATAAAATGTCTCAAATAAGATAAACAGCTTCTTCGTAATAGGAGTGGTCACTAAACGCTTACCAGCTCTCTCAATGTGGCTCTCTAAATGTGATATACTGAGTCAAGTTTTGTGTCACTGCCATTTATTTTTGTAAATCACCTAATTCACACTACAAACAAATTCCAAATCAAAAACAACAAACATCCCAATAAAATAGTAGGGGAAAACAAAAAATATGTTTTGTGGCATCTAAAGTAAACATTGGACTCTATAAACTTGTCACTTAAAGAGGTTCTGTTATTTTTCCATTTTTCTATGGAATTTTAATCACCTGTAGGTTTGAAAGCTGTGATACTTCTCTCACAGCCTTACAAAAGGAGGTAAGTAGGGGGCCACATTTGAAGAATCTCAACTGCAACCTCAACAATGACCAGGAGTCATGTGGATCCGCCTGGAAAGACAGTGGAGGTAATGCCTAAAGTCGGTCTTCCTATATCCTCTTGGAATTTTTCTTGATTAAAAAGATCAGGTAGTTATACTTCAAAATATGACACAAAACATTTTCCTTGAGCATCATCTCTATTGACTTCATCAGACTAAACGTTATCCATCTTTCACCCCTGGCCAGGAGATGGCAGCTTCACAGAGAACACAGCCTCAGTTAGGACAATTAAGAAACCACTTTACTCCACAGCAAGCAAACAAATAAAACCTCGGGAAAAACAAACAAACAAACAAAAAAAAAAAAAAAAAACACACGAAGCAAACCTCACCATCGTTCGATTGTTATAGAAACAATCTTCTTAGTTATGCTACATTCTCTAATACCTTGTTGATATCATTAAAATTGTCTTTCTATAAATTACCATCATCCTTTATGTTATCTTTAAAATGAAAACAATGATCCTCCAATCCCACCCTCCCCTGTCCCATACCATTCTATGACAAATCATGATTTATGGTTTACTGTGCACCAGACACTGTTGTAAGCACTTTACATAATTAACTCATGCAACTGGCTTCTCCTTCTATGTGCTGGACCTGGTTTGCACTAGGTCACGAGAACCAGTTGTGAATGTTTCTTTTCAAGTGTGTGCATGATGACAATACAAGGGGAGTTCACATGGTGGGAATTTAGACCTTGGAAAGAAGCAAATGTTATAACTTAGAATTTGAGTCAACTCCTTCCAACAGCCAGGTGCTAAACATTGACCAGCACACCACTGCTTATAACTAGTGATTATTTAAAATTCTTTATTATATTACACATATACATGGCCATAATTTCTTGACCCGGAATTAGAAAACATAAGTTTATTGAAATCTAGTAGGACCTCATTTTTTTTGGTTTTACCCAAGTCTTCTAAAAAATATGTTTTATCAGAGTTTCTTAAAAGTATCTCCTGTAGCAGTTAAAGCGTAGTCAAAAAGCAAAAATTAATTAATTAAAATAGAAGACAAGTCTCCAGGTTGTATATGTGGTTGGCAAAGGGGTATAACTCAGTAGTAGAGTGCTTTCCTAACATGTGTGAGGCTCTGGGTTCAATCTCAAGCAATACACATACACACACACACACACAAACAGAGAATTTGTGAAAATAAAAAGAAAATATGACAGACCCCTTGTTTCCTAGTAGTCACTGGAACACTCTATTAATGGCAATTTCCACACAAAATGAAAAAATCAACACTAGGCCCTGAAGCATTTTTGAATCACAAAATAAAGATTAAATTGGAATCAGCATAATTTTATTGCATTGTAATATATGCTGATTATTTAGAAACCGATTATCAGTCTATGCTTGTATACTAATTCTCCAGACACCAAAATGTTGAATTAACCAGATGATCTAATTTACTTGACCATAAAGAGGTAGTTTACTCTACTAACTCAACAGGTTGTTGGATACTTCCTACAGGTGGGAATATTTTCACATTATTCTATTCTTTCCTAAAATGAAGTATGTGCAGAGAGAATACTTTTAATAATGAATATGTCTCCATGATAATGTTTGTATTCAATGGAAGTAGTAGCTTATAGACACTGTTATATGATTAAACCAAAGTGACCCATTTTAAAACTTGCAAAAACAAGTCCCTGAGGAATATTTTAGAATTGAGATTTAAAGAAATTATTTTCCTTTGATAATACTGCTCATATATACACATATAAACTTCAGGTTCAAGTTTCTGGGTACTACACCATGTTTAGTGTAGCAGAATGGATTTACGTGGACAAGATGGACAGCTGGTGTACTGAACAACAAGAGAGACTGGCAAAAATGGATCTGAGTGGACTTACACATGCAATGTGAAAACATAATTTCCATACTGTGGAAAGCAACATCAACACACTAGTATTTTCAAGTAAAGTGAAAAAATATAATTTGGGCTTCTCTATAGAAAAGTGTATTTGTAATAGCAAAATATGACAAAGTGATGCTTAGTAATTTAACAATAGAAGGAGAGAGGATAATAGATGAAAAATAGGTATATTTGGGTTCTCATTATATTCACTGTACCTTAATTATTTTCTAGCATTTCATGAAGTCTTTCGGTCATTAATCTACCATTTAAAAAAAAAAAACCCTCATTTTACTGATCCTATACACTTTGACTTTGATTCAATGACAATTTGCTTTTTTCCATGTCAAATTCAATAAGATAATACAGTTCTTACATTGTATCAAGTGTCACAAATTTGTTTTAAAAATATGCAACCCCACCATCTATGGATAATGTGTCCTGGTGACCCATGATGTTTAATATAAATGTGAGCAGAAGTTTGGCTTTCTAGTTCTCCAAGTCCTTTCCAGAAAGAAGAGATCCACACATACACATTTCTTATAAGATTTCTAAAAACAAAACTGTTAACAGGAAATAGTATGAGCGATTAGACGTTTAAACATCATCTTCCTAGTTTTCGGAACTCAGAAATGTAATTTAGTTTCTATACCATAGACAAATGATCTGCCCTAGATTGGAATCCCTTCTGGATCCATTTATATCCTACAGTTTACTGCACAGGATTCCCCCCGTGGACATGCATGACCACTAGATGGTGCTGCGGTGCCCTGTTCAAATATGGTTTCACTCACTTGCAGTCTCTGTCCTCCAAATCGAAGTGAGGATTGAAGTTGATCATAATTCTCTGGTATTGGTCCGGTGCCTGAATCAGCCATTCACATTTTTCACTCGGGTGATAAGAATGAGGATAACCGGGAGATGTAAGGTAGCCCGGGCTTTCAATTTTTATAGTACCGCCACATTTATCTGTAATAAATATAACATTTTAGTAGAGCTCTCCCTGACAATCAGTTAGGTATTTTAGTTTTATATATACATTAACAGTTAATAAACATTCCATAACTTTTTCAAGGGAACTCCAAGAGGTCCCCACAAGTCCTCAGGTGGCCCTGAGAGCAACACTCCACTAAGGAACACTCTTTGATCTCTGGGAGGTTGGCTCCGGCAGAAGCAAATTGAGATTTGAGAAGACTCTCTCCACCCCCAAAGTTTCTGCCCAAGAAAAAGGTCTTCTAGCATTAAAAACATTAAATCCCCTCAATTGATGTTAACATGGTCCCCTGGGAGCTTCTGCTAGACCTAATTATCCCCCAAGAAGTGTAATCACATTAAGTAGCAAGTTCTAAGTGGAAGGTGACTAAAAGAAGCTGTTCGACCCCTTGTGTTGCTTTTTGATGATAAGCCTGGTCTATGTCATTGATCAGTGAGGATTGTCCTCCAAGACTTTGATTGGCTTAAAGCCAAACCCCTTTTTGTTGTTGTTTTATCTGCCCATAAATCTGAATGATTTTGAGTTATCTCTCCTCCTGAGATCCAAATCAACAGAGAACAAAGTATAGTTGGTGAAGCAGAAATAATTCTGCTTTACTTCTCCAAGTTGCTCAGGCTTGGAGGCCAGATCAAAGCAATGGGGCAGAAAGAAAAATAAATAGCCACAAAGCATTAATTCTAATTACCTAAATGTTGGAGGGGGAAAAAAATCCCCACCACACTGATGTCTGTGGCTCACATAGAGTGAGCCACATTCTCATTTCTGGAAAAGGTGAGCTAACTAGTTTTGAGCCCTCATTTTTAAAAAAATGCTGAAGTGATTCACTGAAAGTCAAATAAACCAGTCTCTGGGTTGGTTTATTGTTCATCATAGATCCCTATTGTCACTTTTTATGATGAATTTCATACTGGAGAGCCTCGGCCTGGAATGCTGCCACATTTATTGATGCTTAATTTTAAGCAATAAAAATTTGGTGCATAAACTATGTAAGAGGAACAGGTATGAAAGCAGTGAAATATATAAGCCTATCAATCACAAATATTCAGTAATGGTATATATAGATTTTAATATTGCATCTAATAGATTCCCTGTGGAAAGAGAATGGCATTCTTTGCTCTCAGCATGAATTTATAAATCTACAGAATTTTATTACAGGAAAACCAGGTCAAATGGAAATGAAAGATGAAGTGCACATCAAAAATGCATAAAGCTACATGCATTACAGAAGTCATTTCCCATAAATTAAAAAGAAGACAATATAAATTATATTGTTTTCTTCATTTGCTAGATGTTTCTGACTTTCTTAGATTAGAGATAGTCTTATACTGGTTTCCTTTGCATTGGCTTTTAAAAGCTTTAGGTTTGCCAAGAAGAAATGATGTTGCAACTGGCATTCAGAATCTCAGCTAATGATCATACTGGACTCTGTTACATGATTCTACTGAGACTCGTGCATTATTTTAAATGTGCAGAAAACTTGGAAAGTGAACCTGTCTCATTAAGTCTCCTCCAGCTCTGTACAAACATCATGGCAGTGTCTGGCATCTGTTAGAAGAGTGACATAAAACAGCACTGCTTCTAGTCACTCGACAGAGTCACTTCAGAAGACATTTAGGTGGACTTGGTACCACACCAGAGCTCTTTAATCTGTGACTTCTGAGAAAGTGACAGTGTAATAAGATAATGTGGACTGCTAGACTCCCTGGCTCTGTTAAATCTCTCTAACAGTTGATTAAGAAAGAGCAATTTCTAATGACTGTAGACCATTAGTCCTAAATAAGGTTAATGAATTAATTTAGCAGTCACTGGTACTCGGAGGAGGTGGACATGGCTTTAGGAGGACTGCTAACTTACTGAGGCATTTACTGGCTCTGGTCACTTCAAGCAGAGCAATATGGTTTTAGCTAGTCAAGCTTACTGACTGAAGCCCAGATTCTCAGCATTCCCCAGATTTCTGCTAAGGAAATTAAGAAATGTGTGTGTGTGTGTGTGTGTGTGTGTGTGTGTGTGTGTGTGTATTTGTGGAGTTCAGAATGTAAAATCTCTTTGAACAAGCTTTCAAATCCATCTTGTGAACCACCCCCACTATAAATGTAATATCAGGAATTGTGAAGGATATAGGGTAGATTGCTATAATTTTAAAAGTTTAACCATTGAGTTCGTTCAGTTGGAAGGGAATGTTATTTTCTTCCCTCCACATTATACAAAGATGCCAAACTCAGGTTCATTAATAAATTGAACTCCACATTCACAATTTTTTGAGTGTTTGCTTCCCTGCCAGATTACACAAAGATGCCTCCAACTTAGGTTCATTAATAAATTGAGCTCCATCCCTTTCACATTTTTTTTTTTTTTTTTTTTTTGCTTATCTATCAGAACACTGCTTGTTACCTCTGGGTGCAGGGGGGAATCTATTGCTTAAATCACAAAACCTCAAGGAAAAAGCACATTACAGAGATTAACTTCCATCATAAAGGCGTGATTTAAATTCCTCTTGCTATGAGCCTCTCCACTTGCAGTCTCTTATTAAAACAATATACCATAGTAAGTAGTGGATGTTTTTTGCTTCTAATTACTTTGATTGAAATCTAAGCCAGACAAAAGTAAATATTTGATCATTAGTTAATAATAATTGCTGAAGATTTACTGTAAAGACATTTCATGCTCTCTCACCTACTTTACAGTGTAAATCGAACATGCTTACAACCAGATCATATTTTAAAACACATTATTTAGGTTACATGGTACTGCTTATACCCTAGTCTTTCATTTACTTAACAATGAGTGGTTTTAAAAGCGAAGTGAAAGCTGCAACTAGGTTGGGGATTTTCAGATATGCTGGTGACTTACACGGTATATATCAGATTCCTTTATTGACACTATGTAACTTTCATTCATACTCCAGACCGACCAGGGACGATTTACAAAGGCGGGGGAGTTCCAGCAACAGACAAGACAAACCGCTATCTCCTGCAGTCGCCCACCAGAGGAAACAGTATAAGGAAACTGAAAGAGAACCAGGAAGTTCTCCGGGAAAAGTGTTCATTAACTTTCAACAGCTATCAGATTTTTTAAAGGAGTCTCATTTAATTGCCTTTGGGAGGAAACATTATTAAGATAATTGGTGTGCTGATCTGGGAAGGTAGGCAGCTCTGCCTACCTCCAGCTCTGCAGGAAAACCCCCACAGCCAAACAACCAAGTTCAGGAGGAAGCCAGAGGACTTGAAATCCTCCTGCCCTAAACCGACTGATCTTATTTCTTTATTTCTCCGCCCAGATAAAAGTTTCCTACGCCCGGGAGGTGGTTATTCCTGGACGCTCGCAGCAGCTCTGCGAGAGTCGCGTAGCTGAGGCGGGAAGCCGAATCCAGGCAGGACGCGGGCAGCTGGGAAGCCCGGGGCACCGCGCTGTCACACGCGCCTCCGCCTGTCACTTACCGTTGCGAAAAGCGCTGGTCAGGGCGAGGGCGAGGGCAAGCGCTGCGCAGAGGAGCGGCAGCCCCCTCTCCATCCTCCCTTCGCCGGATCCCCAGGCAAACGCGGGAGAACGAGAACGTGCAGGGGAAATACACAGCAAAGAGGGGAATCTAAACAATCCGAAGCGCTCCAACTCCTCCTAGAGCCGTAAAATCCTCAGTCCGTCCTGGGGAAAGGAAAGCAGCGAGGCAATGCCTTGATTCCAGAGAAACGCGTCTCTTTTTGTGTCTCAAGTCGCCTGCATCCTGTCATTTAGCTCCGGTTTCCTCTCCCTTTTCCCACACTTGTTCCTCTTCCAGGAGCCACTGCCCGGGCCATGTCTCAAAAAAAAAAAAAAAAAAAAAAAAAAGGAGCTGGGAGGGGGAGGAAGGAGGGAGGTAGGGCGACGTACACCAAAGCCAATTTCCAGAAGGAAAAAAAAAATCCGGTTTGTTTCTGGACCGGTTGGAGCCGAGGAGCTGGCGCCCAGGGGAGGTCCGGGTTGTCTGCGGGAAGGAGAGGAGCAAGCAATGAAAAGATGAGCGGGAGACAGAGGAGTTTCACCAACTGCACCCCCGCCTCCCCCACTCCTCCGTCCTCCCCCTCCCCTTCTGGAGCCCTTCCCTCGCTTCCTCCCTCCCCTCTCCCCGCACTGGCTCGCCAGTAATTGCCTGACAGGAGACTAGGAGGAACAAGTTTCTCTCGGTGTGCTTTCCCTGTCCGTCTGTCTGTCTCTCTGGAGGCCCTGCAGGGATCTCCACGGGAAGAAAGGCTCTAGGAGTCTGCGCCCAGGGCGTGAGGAGGTGTGTGTTTCAGTAAGGGGTGTCGAGATCGATGCCAGCCTCAGGCTGGCCTACCTTGGCGTACTTGCTCTGGAACCCCCGAGGGAGAGCTGGGCAGCTCTGGGAGGCGAGGATCTTGCGGCCGTGAAGAGAGGAGTGCCCGGGAGGTGGCGGCTGCTTCTTGAAACTCTAAATCCGGGCCGGTGGCCGGGCGGTGAGGACAGTGGTGCCAAACCCCTGTCACTCCCCACCGTGCCAACCTGAGACTTGTGGTAGAAAGCAGCCCGCGCCCCTGGCCACCTCAGGTCGGGATTACAGGGCCAAAAGGAGAAACCTGGTTAGACCGAGAGACGCACCACTGAGTTGAACGAGCGGAGGCAGTGTCTCTGCCACGTAAAGCCGTGTCAGACCGCCCCGCCAGGCGAAGCCCAGCTTCAGCCTCCTCTGCCTCTCTGCCCGAAAACGAGCTCCCGGCTGGGTGTCAATAGCGCCCGGGTGCCCTCCGCATGCTGCGGACTTCATTGTTCCCCGAGATCTGGTGCTCTTCTCTCAGTGTTAGAGGGTGGGAGGTGTTGGACTTTTTAACTAGGGGGCAGCCGCCGCCAGGCACTGTCCAGCCTTGCTTGTTTCAGAGCCCAGGAGTTCCAGGGAATTGGAAATTAGGAATCCGGTGGAGCTTTTCTGTGCATCCCAAGGGAGGGAGAAGAGTGACACAGAGAGGTGATCTTTACAGGGTCCTCACAGTGCCTTCTCCCTGCCACAGGCAATTACTGGCCTCAAAGTCCTGGCCCACCCCCACCTCCCACTGCCGTGAGTCCTCCGTTACTGCTGGACGCCCCCCAGTTCCATCCCCGAGGGCTTTCCGGGAACTGCTGCTGGAGGCGTATGCAGATATGAATAGCAAGGATAATTCAGGGAACAAACAGGTTGTGGGCACTGATCAGGCACTAACAGGGCTAAATGCCCACGGACCCCCCTCTGAAGGAGTTCTGGGGAGGTGAAAAGGTCATACGTCTTCTGGGAAATGGCGTTTATGTACACACCCCTAAAGCAGAGCCTGCATCCTACCTGGTGCAAAGAGCTGGCAAAGGAGATTTAGGAATGTTGGCAAGGAGACTGGTCAAAGGTTTTGGCGGAAAGAACTAGGGTCATGCAGGGAGAAAGGACGCCCAAGGCGCGCAGGCCTCTGGCCAGGCACCGTCCTATCGCGGCTGGGCGTGGCGACGCGTGCCCTTCAGGGTGCAGGAGGGTTCCGGGCGGTGCCGAGTTGCACTCTTGGCCTCCGCACTCGCTGCTCTTCTGCTGCGGGTGGAGCCTTCTTTCTCTAACGCCTGAGTCCCTGATACCCTGCTGCCAACCTGCAAAGCTGGAGACTCAGCCCTCCGGGCGCCACGAGCCCGTCTAGTCCCCGAGCGCCTCCTTTCCCTCAGCACTTTCCTCCTCAAGAGCTTTCACTCGGGAGAGGCGCGGGTGGGAAGGGCTCACAGAAAGGCTGGGGGTCAAATGCCCCGGGCGAGCGGAAGGGATCGTAGCGGGATCCCTGGCAGTCCTGGGCTGGAGCTGGAGGGCTAATTGGAAGCAAGGCGGGGACGCCAGCCGCGCCCAGCACAGACCCAGGGGAGTCAGCGCTGCGGAGTAAAGCCCGGGCGCCTGGTTACGACCCGCACGCATAGCAGCCTTCCGGCTGTCCTCCTTAACCTGGCGCAGCCCCGCCAGTTCCAGCTGTGCGGGTCGAGGGGCATCATCACATTTCGGGTGACCCGAGCGACCTAAGTCCTGGGCTCGGAGGAACAGGCGCCTCTCTGGACCTGGCAGGTTGACAGTGAAGGGGAGCCGGGCGGGAGCAGCGGCCAGGGCGTCTGGGAGTCACAGATAGTCTCTATCTTACCGCTGGTACGCGCTCGCGCCCGGCGCGCTCGCTCCGGGGAGAGTGTTTCCTCAGGTCTGTGACTGCCTGGGGTGAGCAAGGGGGCACAAGCGGGAGACTTGAGCTGCGTTGTTTTTAGAAAACTGCCTCCGATCTCTCTTCCCTTTTCCCTGCTGAGTGTGCATTTCCCAGCCTAGACCTGCCAGGCCAACAAATACATCCACGGACCGCGCACCCCGGGAGGGACAGATCCCCAGCCCCAACATCCTCTGACCTCGCCCCTCTGGCTTCCTCCCGCGGTTCGCTGTAAGAAGGGCCGGCTGCTCCAGCGGGTTAACTCTCAGAAAACGTCTGTCTTTCCGACTCCCCAGCTGAACACTTTCGCCAGTCCTTCTGCAACCAACTAATAAGACATACACTATGTACTTTCCGAGAGGTATATTTAAATTCTTCCTCTGATTGTCTGGTCTTAAGTTATCTGCGGCTTTCCTGGACGCTTTGGTTTCCACACACAGTAATGAAACCCTACAGCACTGATTGATAATTGCTGGCTTGTTGCGTTGGTACAGAGCAAATTGTCCTTGCTAACATCTTTCTTTTGCTTTTGGATTCCAGTAACTGGTGAAAAGGGTCAGTTTTAGATTTCTGCAATTCCCCAGCAAGGGAGACAGGCCGACTTTACATAAGAATAAGTGATAGACAAAGGAAGAATTTGGCAGTACACCCAAATTGAATTTATTTTGGTCTCCGGAAAACATCACTTCCTTTTAATATCACGGTTCCTCATATTAGATAGGACCTAGTTTCACTGAAGGGAAGATTGATCTACCCCTCTCCCCCACAGTGCCCAGCAGAGGTCCTTAGTGGTGAATACCCAGCCTTATTGCCTCCAGTTCAGGGACTGCTGCAGAAGTAAGGCAGATCTGAGGAGGGCTGGAACCGTGGCCCTTTATAAGAATGGGCTGAATGGTAAATGCTCCCTTTCTATCATCAAGTTCTCATTGATTTGTCAGAAATAAGATGAGATCCATTGCTCCCAGAAGGCCACTTGAGCCACTAACTTCCTCAAAGTACTTTAGATTGATGCAATATGGAGATTCATGTTGGTAGCTCAAAAGTGAATCAAGTATAGTCAAATTTTTTGTTTGTCTGCTTTGAAAACGAAGCTCAGGCATTTCAAAAAAACAGTACAGTAACATATTTTTAGGAGGAGCTAACCAACATTTGAAATGAAGAATGAAAAGGAGAAGTGAAACAAGGAAAAGGTAAAAAACTGGCCCTTCTGTCTTCCTTTATAATGCAAAAGGTGTCTTTTGGGGTCTCACAGCTATCTCCTTAATTTGTATTAGCAGAGAAGGAAGAAAATAAACATGAATCTTTCATTTCTGATTCTTCATTTTTAGACTTTTAAAACTTATCTTCAAAAGTTTTCAAATACTGAACAAAAAACTACCATCTAAAATTTTAAAACAAATGTGAAGTTTTTGTAATACAGTGTATTCAATAACAAACAAGAGGAAGGAAGGGAGATAATGCTAAATTTTGTATCATGTTGGTGGGTTCAAAATGTTGGTGGCAGAAGTTAAGGCTAGTTTTTTAAACAGTATACTATTTGGAAGAATTATCTTAGATTATTCTGCTTTCATTGACCTTTAAATTAGGAAAACTAAAATAATAGTAACAGAAACAGCAAGGTTAAAAATATCATTAGAAACAACATATTCTGATTTTCTAAAGAATTATCTTTTTGTAGAATGATCTTTAAATGTAAGCTGAGCAATTAAAAAAGGGAAGTGGCTACTCTCTTAAAATTTAACCATAGTTTTATGTAAATTGAGAACTAGATTTTAAGGAGTCTTGAAAGAAGTTAATAAAATAATTTTTAAAATATCAAATGAAGGGGCTGGGGATGTAGCTAAGTTGGTAGAGTGCTTGCCTCCCATACAAAAGGCCCTGGGTTCAATCCCCAGCACCAATACACACACGCACACACACACACACACACACACATATATATATATATATATATATATATATATTTGCTTGTTTCAGAGCCCAGGAGCTCCAGGGAATTGAAAATTAGGAATATATATATCAAACGAAGTCTTCAAAAGCACAGTTAAGAACTCTTTAATTTATCCTAAAATAATTTAATTTTGTTGTATTTTTATTAGATGAGTCTGGCTATTGTGTAGAAAATGGGTTATGAGTGGATCAAGGGAAGAAGTGAGGAGACTAATTATGAAGTAGCAACAGTAGAATCTAAATAAGAGCTTGAACAAGGATTATGGCAGTGCAGATTAGAAAAAGGGTGCATTCTATGTGCATTTAGGAAATAGAAGTAATAGGATAAAGGTGAACATGCCAATGAAAGGGGGTTGTCAAAGATGACCCTTAAGATTCAAGTTTTTGTAACTGGATGTGTAGTGATAACTTTCACATAGACAAGGTACAGTGGAAGAAGGTTTTGGAAGGGGAATTTCCAAAAGGAAGTACTGGACAAAAATTGAGTACTGTGCTGATCAGCTTTCCATCCTTGTGATAAAAATACCTGAATCAGTCAACTTAAAGGGAGTAAAGTTTTATTTAAGCTGATAGTTTAAGTCCATGGTCACTTGGCTGCATTGCTTTGGTGGCACAGTATATCATGGGTGGATGAGGGAGGAGACCTTTCACCTCATGGTACACGGTAGCAAAAAGAGAGACAGGAAGGGGCTGGAGTCCCAATATCTTCTTTAGGGCACATCTAACTTCCTCCTACTGGACCTCACCTCCAAGGTTCTACTACCTGCTAGTAGTGCCACAGCTGGTGACCAAGCCTTTAGCAAATGGGCCTGTGGAGGATATTTTGGATCTAAATCATAGCAAATAACATTGAGAGTTCTGGCTGGATGAGGACTAAAATGCAATTGTACTTAATGGTGTGATGGTTACTGAGAGCTGATTTTACCAAGAGTCATTTCAGCAGAGTGAAGGAGGAGCAGGATTAGAGGCCAGATTAGAACGCACTAAGGAATCAGTGGAAAGCAAAGAAATAAAGACAATGCACGGAGAAAATTTGCTCTGGAAGTTTCTACGGAGGAAATAGACAATAGTTTTGGGAAGAATAAATGTGAAGGGAGGTTAATTTTTTGCTTGTTTTTAAGATGGGGTCCTTTTGAACATTCTTAAACATTGATAGGTAGAGTCCAGTTTAGGGAAATGTTGAGATTAAAGCACAGTAAAGATAATCAGGGTGTAAATAGCCTGAGAAGGCAAGAGTGTATGCAATCTGAAGCCCAGATGAATGAATGCAAAAAGATACAAGCATCTCTCTGTTGCAGCAATAGGAAAGGAGAACTGATGGGTATAATTCTAAGTAGGTTTCTTATTTTAGTTGAGGGCAATTTCTCTATACTCTTCCATTTTCCCAGTGAAGTACATCATGTATGAAAGGAAGGATAGAGGAAAGGTGCTGAAGGTCTCCAGTGGGCAGTGAATATTGACAGGAAAGACCAAGCTCGCCACAGAAGCCGTTGTCAATTTTTTTTTTTTTTTTTTTTTGGTGATGCTGGGGATTGAACCCCAGACCTTGTGCATGCGAGGCAAGCACTCTACCAACTGAGTAGAAACTGTCCAGTCCAGTCAATGTTGTTTTGATAATTTTCTAAGTTTAAAGTTGAGTTTGTGGCACATTTTGGGTAGAACATATCTTCCTAGAAAAGTTGACTAGTTTTTCATGCAATTCACAAACATCTGCTTAACTCATAATGAAGCAGGAATAATAATATTAATGGTATTATTTAGCTTTAAGGCTCTAACAATTATTTACAACAAATTAATGAACGTATCAATTGATGTACAGGGAAAGTGTCCCCCAAATAACTCTTTGCAATAAAAATGTCTTTCTCTCCCCATTCTTTTCCTTGTTCTTTATCTGCCCAGAAATATCCAAGGGAGAATTAAAGTTTTTTTTCTCTATAACCTATACCAGACATCCATATATTAATTTTATTTGTACAATTGATGCAAAATAGAACTAAAGTACTTCTCCAGTGGTGTAAAGTCTAGATTCAGCATCATTATTGCACACATTTTCATGGGTACATATGACTTTTTAAAAATTGTTATATGATTTCTGGCCCTGATGATTCAGTCTAAGTATTTGGTTAGGTTTTCAGTGGGCATTTTTTTCAATAAAGCTTTTTTCCCTTCAATTAATTATGTTAAACCATCAGATTTTCACAGTGCTTTCCTCCTATGTAAGCGGTGATAAATTAACGTTGGTTGATTTTCATCCACACAATACATTGTTTCAATGGACTTGCTGTAACCCAAACACCTCACAAGAACAACTTAGAGGAGGAGAAGTTTAGTTTGGCTCACAGTTTTGGGGGATTACATCATGATCAGCCTTGCTCCATTGCTCTGGGTCCAATCATGGTGAAGAATGGTAGAGGAGTGCTGCTGCACACATTGTGGCCAGGAATTGGGGTGGGGAGAGGGCAGCAAGGGACACAAGATAAAATCCCAAGGAAATACCCGCAGTGACCAACCTCTTCTAGCCTCACCCATGTACCTAGAGTTACTACCCAATATAATTGTCCTTTCAAATTATTAATCCATCAAATGGACTAAGCCATTGATTAGGTCACAGATCTTATAATCTAATCACCTCACCTCAGAATGTTTCTGTATTAATACAGGAACTTTGGGGAGGGGCACCTCATATCTAAAACATAACATTCCACCCAGCTTCAAAAAGCTCATGTCTAATCTCACAATGCAAAATGCATTTAGGCCATCTCCAAGAATTCACATAGTCTTAACTGTTCCATCATTGCCCCAAAGTCCAGGTCCAAAGTCTCATGTGAGACTCAACGTAAACTCTTGGCTATGAGACTCTGTAAAAATCAAAAGTTATTTACATATATCCAAATATAAATAGCACAGAGTAAACATTTCCATTCCAAAAGTGAGAAACAGGGGTATAGAAGAAAGGATGATACTAAAACGAGACTGAAAACCAGCTGGGCAAACAAGATAAATCCCCAAGGAAACGCGCCCAGTGACCAACCTCTTCTAGCCTCACCCATCGGTTTAGAGTTACTAGCTAATATAATTGTCCTTTCAAATTATTAATCCATCTTATAGCTCCTGGAACACACAGTGGTAAGATGTCATCTCCACAGTCAGTCCATACTTTAGCCTTGCCATTGTAGCACACATGGCCTCTCTCTTAGCTGGGCTTTCTTCAGAGCCCACAGCTTTCCTCAACAGATAGTGCACATTACTGGCATCTCTTAATTCTTGGGGCTTCCATTCTAGCTTCTCTTTCACCTTTACAAATTCATGCATCACACTCTCAGGGGCAGTCTGCAGGGATGCTGATCCTGTTATTCTTTGTCTGGCTTCCCAAACCTTCCTTTTAAATCTTGGTGGAAGGCTCCATGACCC